CCATCACTATTTAGGAGGGTGTGCTCAATTATCTGTCTGCTATCTCTCAAAGAAAATGGAACCGTAGAACAAAGAGTTGGGACCATATTAGTCCTTGAAAGAAAATGTAAGGTGAGATCCTGCAGAGGAGCCATTTCTTGCAAATAAAAACCAACTTCTCTGACCTGAGACTCTCCCACTTCTGTTCTTGATCTTCTTTTGTAATTACAAGAAGGTAAAAAGGGTTTTAGAGTCATGTGAACCTGAGTCAAATCCTGACAATGAAGCCTATGTTTCTGTTTTGAATAAGTCACTGATCTTTTATCCTTTTTTCAAAGGATTTATTTTTTAAATTGTGTTTATGGGGAAGGGGTGGGTATGTGCATGTGGGTGCTGGGAACTGAACCCAGGTCCTCTGCAGGAGCACTACATGCTCTTAACCACTGAGCCATCTCTCCAGTCCCAGCAATTTGATATTTATTATTTTTTATTTTATGTGTATGAGTGTATTATTTGCATGTGTAAGCATACCTGTGTTGTGCGATGCCCATGGAGGTCAGAAGAGGGCATGAGATCCCTTGAAACTAGAGTTACAGATAGTTATTAGCCACCATGAGGATGTTGGGAATTGAACCTGGGTCCTCTGGATGAGCAGCCAGTGCTCTTAACCACTGAGCCATCTCTCTAGCCTCACCACTTATCTTTTTACAACTCCTGTATTTAGTAGAAGCACGAACAAATATCAACAATGAGTTGATATCTTATATAAATCTCGTTTTCAGGGAGAACATCCTATTCATTTGTTCTTGAATACAATCAAATTAAAGAGAAAATTTTATGTGTGGGGCAGCAGTTAAGAGCACCTCCTGTTCCTACAGAGGATCCAGGTTGAGTTTCTAGCACCAACACGACCAACAGTTGACAACCATCTGTAACTTCAGATCCAGAGGATTTGATGCCCTCTTCTGGCCTCCATGGCATTGCATGCCTATGGTATACTTACATACATAAAGGCAAAATTCATACACATAAAATGAAAATAAATATTACAAAATAAAATATGATGCTTGAATCTGACAGATGTCTCTGATGATCAGCCCCTGGGGGCATAAAAGACATCAGGCACAATGGTCCTGATCTCAGGCACTTAACTTTTCCAAGATTAGTCACATATACACCAAAAACAAAGTTAACAATTGAGAGCTGGTCTGTCGCAGAGATAAATATAAGACAAAGAATCAGGAGGCACAAATTGGGAATGAGCTCAGACAACTTATTTCTCTGTGGATCTCTGCTTCTCCAGCTGCAGTACAACAGAACTGGATTAGATCTTCAATCTTCCAAGATCTAAAGCCTATAATTTATACTGAAAACTGAAGCTGCAAGTGCTACTGGGGAAGTTCAATGGAAGAAATGTGATTTGCATCAGACCTAAAGAATGGAAAGGATTCAGGACACTGGAGGACAAAAGGCATTATGGTCGGGAGAAACAGCAGAACAATCTATAAGAAAAATGAGTATGCTCGGGGGTTACAGAGATCAATCTAGCCAGAGATAAAGGCAAGACGAAGTAAGATGCACAAGTATTTGAGCAATGGAGAAAGGAGTCTGAGTTTTCTGGAGGCAATGGGAAAGACCACACGTTTCTAAGCAGGTATAAACTGATGAGAAAATCCTTTTTTCTTGCATCCATATTTCTTAATCTTCAAGAAGGTGCAATACTGAAAACATATTCCTCTAATTGGGAACATATCTGACTGGCAAGCCTCGGAAATGGAGTATACCCAGCCCACAGTCCCTATGCCCCTTCTGCCTGCAGTTAGGGGGTAAATATAACTGTGGAAGTAACAAGAAGCCTGACTCTGGCCAGAAGGCAATTGAAGTTCTTTGACTAAACTTATCACTAAGAAAGCTGACTGTTGCATGTCCATCTCTGTTGGCTATTTCCCAAATGATTTAGAATCAAGAAAGAGGAAAAAGGAATCTGATCTACAACCAACACAACTGACTGCCAACATGAACACAGTAACAGCAGTGCTTCAGAAAAACCATCTGGCAGTAACTAGCGAGGATCGAAAGAGGAAAAGGTCAGAAGTCTGTACTCAGGGGCAGAGCTCCTAAAGTACCCCAAGTATTCAGTGAATCATGTATAATCATCAGGTATTACCCAGGGTCTAAATCAGTAACTGCCCAAATAAAAACTAGTACTTGAGTGAAGCTGCAAGGGTAAGTCAAAGAACACACACACACACACACACACACACACACACACACACACACACACTAAGACGTAATTACTAACATTTTAAAAAATCAATTGACATCCTTTTATAACTAAAACTGGGTCTTCTGACTACTGGAATCATTAATTAAAGGAATCAAAATAATTTTACAGATGCAAAGGTTAAACAGTCCAAAACCCTATCTGGGCTATGGAGAAGAATTATTTAAAGATAACAGCATATAGCCCTGAAATAAAGACAGAAAACCTGGGGCTGGAGAGATGGCTCAGTGGTTAAGTGTACTGACTGCTCTTGCAGAGGACTGGGGTTTAATTCCTAGAACCCACACAATAGCTAACAACCATCCGTAACTCCAGTTCCAGGGACTCTGACGTCTTCTGACCTCCACAGGCACTGTACAACACGGGTGTACTTACAAACATGCAGGCATAACACTCATACACATAAGATAAAAATAATAAAATATTTTTAAAAGACACATAACCTGTGTAATTTGTCCACATTTCTAAAGAGATGACCATCCCTTATCCATCTATCAACCTCCTGTCAAAGGTGTTCTAGATTTCTTATCCATCTGTCAACCTCCTGTAAAGGTGGTCTCCTAGATGTCTAAAGCTGAAAGTTCTGCTTTCTTCTAAGTGAACAGCCCTCAAAAGTACAAGTAGTTCTCTAAGTGTTTCATTTTATTCAGCCTAATTAGATCAAATTATATTCCTTTAATTTGATGCTGTATATACATAACAAAGCTGTAAGGATTTTATTAGTCAGGAACTCAACTCTGCCTCTGCATTTGATACTTAATTTTGTTTCAGGGAAACAATTCCCCGTTCTCTTAAAACAGGCTTTATAATAATGTCTACATACTATTGCCTTGGTTTATTTCTCATGTCAATGTAAATTCCTTTCAGAAGTCAATAAAATTATAAACATCAGAGCCAGAGGATGGGTGCATTCAGATACCTATGGCTTTCTACTGCCTTCCATATCCAAGCCACACCCTTAGTAGGACAGTTACTCTAGCTACCCTAATTCTCAAACACAACCTCTTACTATTCTCTATAAAATTAAAATACATAACTCTACTAGCTCAGGTCTAACTTTCCTCCTTCAAATATTTCTTTACCCTAAAGAACCACCACAGAAGTAAAAATGATTGGCAGAAGCCAAAATTACTACAGCATCGCCCCCCTCCCCCATATCGGCAGTCAGGGTATGTTCCCAAAGTCAAGTGAGAAATAAAGTCTCTAACTGTTTCACTAGTCAGAATACCTATTTTACCAGCTCCTCTTGGCCTTCCAAGGTGTACAGCATTTTATGGCCATTTGCTGCCAACTATATTCTAAGGATCCCTCCACCCTCAAGCCTCTTTTTAGATAAAAATGAAATCCTGTATGGAAGTATGTATTTTCAATCAACATTTTAACTTGGATTAGGAAATTGTCCACCTGGTCTTAACAAACTATCCTTCTAAAAAGTAAATGAAGTCTGGGCGTGGTGGTGCAGGCCTTTAATCCCAGTACTCAGGAGGCAGGCGGATCTCTGTGAGATCAAGGCCAGCATGGTCTACATAGCAAGTTCCAGGCCAAAAAAAATAATAAAAAGTAAATGAGTCACAAAGCAAACCTGAACTTTCTAAAACTTCCTTTAGTGCTGACCTATCACAGATGTGTGCAATGGCCTCATTATGTTCTGTTCTCTTGACATTCACATCAACCTCTAAGACTGTATGGTCTAATATGATAGATGAACAGACATCTTGCCTCTGTATTTAGACTTCAGGAACTTAAATTCCTTAAGTTAGAGATTATGCATTTTTTTGTTTTGTATTTTAAACACAATGCTATGCACAAACGATTTCTAAGAAGACATTCATATATCTGAACAAAGATGGCAAATGCCGAACTTTCTATGTAAGGCATGCAGTTGCTCTTCTAATGGGTTCTCTCATATCAAACAGTGCACAGTGCTCAATCCCAGGCCTCTGATTTCTCCAAATCACTCTAGAATTCTCTGGCCTCATTTAGTCATCATTTCCTGAGCAGCTATGGAAGGGTCAGGCATTGTGCCAGACACTGAAGTAGAGAGAACTAGATGAGAAATGGTTTTGCAATCAGAACTTACAGAGTCTGGGGAGGCAAGTCAATCCTCCTGCATGCAGAGTGCTGTTTACCCCTGGCCCTGCCAGCCTACTACACCACTGACTCTAACAGCTGTCTGCCCTCTGCCTCTATGCAACCATCATTCTAAAAATCTCTGCCCTCCCTGTATCAGACCCAAGATGTCCCTTTTGGTATACCTTATGCAACTTAACATTTTAATTCTCTTTAATACAAACAGAATGGCAATAATTGCATGATCAGCTGGTAAGAAAAGAAGTTCAATCTTGGTTGAAAGTTAATAGGACACAAAGAACACACCCACATGGCATGTAAAAGCATGCCCACATCTGAGGTAGGACATGAGCTACCACATAAAAAATGCTAAACACTAAGTACATAGACCAAAAATGATGGTTCGGAGTCTGAAGAGGGTGAGCATTTCTTGGAATTTCCTAAAAACACAAGTGTTTTTGAAGTAGAACTCCAGGAATAAAATTAGGAACAGCAACCTCCAGGGACAGTGCCTTCCATTAGTGCCAGGGGTTATCTGGCCATCCCCGCCCCAAGCATAAGTGAGGTAGAAAGCCTAGACCAGCGGAGTGCAGTAAAGTTAGGCCCAGGGGCTAGGGCTGATGCCAAAGGCTCACAATTCCATAGCGGCCAAGGAGGAAGTACACACCTGGCCTTCCTGGACTTTGTCCTGGCTGTGTAGTCCACACAACTCCTCTTCTCCTTGGCCTCCCTGGGACCTGAGGCCTCCCGGGGCTTCCGAGTCTTCTTCACACCATCTTTCTGCTTCGGCTCCTTGGGCTCCTTGGCCTTCTTCAGCTCCTTGGCCTTCCTGGGTTCTTTTGGCTCCTTCGGCTCTCGTTTCCTCTTTGGCTTGGGCTCTCTGTCCTTGCTGCCCTTGGCTGCTCCCTCCTGCTCTCCTTGCTCCTTTTTCTTCCGTTTCTTCTTTACTCCAGTACCTCTGCCTCCACTATCCTCCATCCCATTATGGGACATCAGTTTTCTAGGAAAAAGGGTATCAGCTTCCTCTTCAGTAGTATAAAGGTCCTTCTGGGGAAGAGAGTGACCGGTAACATCTTCAATTTTGTCTTCCTGATCAGTGCTGCAGTCAAATGGCGATGGTGATTTGTAGTCAAAATTAACGGAGGCATCAGACATGGGGGAGTGACTCAAAACTTTTAAATTTGACAACTGTAAAATAGAGAAACAAGCACATTATCCTTTCATCACATTTCATACAAAGAATATTATTAAGTTTTAAATCATGGGATTTATTCAATAAAGAATTACTGAGTTCCTACTACATGTTAGTTCCAGTGTGCTAGTCCTTGAGATACAGGGGCAAGGAGGACATGCTCACCTTTGGCTTAGTCAAGCAATGGCATGGTGCTGATGACATGTACATTAAAAAGTTAGTTATGGACTGGTAAGATGGATCAGTGGGTAGTGGCACTTGCCATGCAAGCCTGAAGACCTGAGTTCAATTTCCCGAATCCATGTGAAGGTAAAAAGAGAACCAATACCACAAAAAGTTGTCCTTTGACCATATACGTGCCATGGCATGCACACCCACCCACTCCCACCTACTCCTCTCTAGTAAAATTTTTTTAAAATTAGCATATAATTAGTATATAAAAAGCTGAAGGATTTCTGTATTCTATGAAGAAATCTGAAATGTATTTTCAGTACTTTATCTAAAATAGGCAAGCATATAATAGTTTTCCACAAAATATCTTTGGATGCCACCAAATCCTAGGCAAACTATTGTGATGCAGAATGGGATTTATGTTACATAAACACTACTATTCAAATGTGTTCTGAGACCATCTGGCCATGGGGTAAGATGGGCCCCTGGAATGAGAGGGTTATAGTATCAAATTCTGCACTACTTTATTTCTCAATTTTGTTCTCGGCAATCAACAGGAAGTATCAACAATGAATTAGTCTGATTCTATCAAGAAAATCAGGATTGAGGCTGGAGAAATAGGCTCAGTGGTTAAGAGCACTGGCTACTCTTGCAAAGGACCAAGGTTCTGTTTCCAGTATTCACATGGCGGCTTACAACTTTCTTAACTCCAGTTCCAGGGGATCTGATGCCCTCTTCAGACCTCTGTGGGCACTGTACACATTTGGTGCACTTACATGTGTGCAAGGCAATACATGCACATACATAAAATAAAAATAATATTTTTTAAAAAAGAAAACCAGGATTATTCCAAGTTTACTTAAAAAAAGTTTTTAAAAAGTTATTTATGTATATGTGTGCATATACATGTATGTGTGTATGCATCTACATGGAGGTGAGACAACAGTGTTTTCTCCTTTCATCATGCAGGTCCTAGGGCTGAACTCAGGTTGTCAGGTTTGGTGGCAAGCAGCCTTACCATCTTGTTGGCCTATGAGTTTTACTTTTGATAGTAACTAAAGCTAGTCTTATTCTGTATGTCATTGAACTTAGCCACCAGACTCAGTACTAAATACCTTTGGCCATTAAAAAAAACCAAACTACTCAAATAGGAGGAAGTTTTACTATGCAGAAAAGGGTATTATCACAGGTGCTAAGGCAACCCTAAAAAGGCCATTTCAAAGCCATTTTTAAATACCATTAAATAAATAAATGAAATAAATAAAAGCAGTCTCCCATGGTTATCAGTTTTAAGGAAATAACCCTCAGAACGGACAAGTTTCACCTCATAGTTTCAGGTCTGGTATCCCAAAAAGTACTTGCCATTTCATAACCCAGGAAAGGTTGGCAATGGTCAGATGATAATGTGGGTGATAACTCTAGGGAACAGCACTCTCTCCTTGGTCTAGAACAAAGAAACAACCCAGGGAGAGACCAGGAGGGGGCAGCAGGCTTTCCAAGAAGATGGTAGAACTGTCTTCAGATGATGGCTTAGAAACGGCACCATTTGTGAGTGCCCTGCTCTATTAAGAAGTCTGGCATGTGATAAACCACAGACACTTGCCCAGGTGGTATGGCTTCCCTCCAGTATACTGGTTCCTCAAGCTGTGCCCATACTTCCTAGCCCACAGTGGAAGTGATGGGACTGCAAATTTAGCTGCATGCTCCCTGTCTTCTTTATCTAATGCCCTTCCCCAGTCTGAGGCTCCCAAATAAAACAGAGAGTGCTGGGAGAAAGAAAGCAAAGAAAGGATTATTTTATCTTTATGATAAATGAAGTCTGCTAGTAAGCTAGCCTAGTTCTCAGGATAACATAACAGAAGTTCTTACAGGACTCAGTACTTGAAGAAAAGAGGGGAAAAGGAAAGAGTGGCAAATCATTAGGATGGTATAGTTTATCTCATTTTTAAAAACATTATTTAAAAAAAAAAATTTTAGGAACCGGGGAGATGGCTCAGTTAGTAAAGTACCAGGTGTACAAATACAAGGACCAGCTGGATCCCCAGCACCCACATAATAGTCATGTTTAGACCCTCAAGCACTAGGGGTGGGGATTTAGGGGCAGAGACAAGTGGATCACTGAAATGCACTGGCCAGTCCATCTAGTTAAATCCATGTGCTCCAGGTTCAGTCAAAGACCCTGCCTCAAAAAATAAGAGAGATTAAGAAAGAGACACAAATTCAATCTCTGGCCTCTACACACATACATATCCTCCCCCACACGTACATCACTCACACAAACACCACACATATATACATAATTAAAAATAAAAAAAGAAAGAAAGAAAATGCAAGGCAAGAAGAGCCCCAGTGGCAGGTAACAGCTATTCGTTAAAACTCAGATCCTACACACAGTCATCCTGGGAATTTTACTGAATTCTGTGCCAGGGACACCTGGCCCTCAGGAATCAAGTTTTTTTTTTAGCATGCAAGAATGGATATACTGAGATGCTGAGTGATCAGCCCTAAATGGAACATCTATATCACCCACTCAAGGCTCAGTGAACATCTTGGAAGAGGGGGCAGAAAGAATTTAAGAGCTGGAAGACAGAAAGGAATATTGTTAAAACATTATCTTCTCCAAAAAAAAAAACCCACACCAAAAACCAAAAAACATTATCTTCTTGATATGACGTGACTATTGCACCCATGAACTCAACAGCAGCAATGATATCTGCGTAAGACCTGCACAAGACTGGGCTTCAACATTCCATCATGGAAGGAAAGGGGCTCAAAAGGCTCTACCCCTTCCTGAGTAGCTCTAGGAAAGGCAGTTAATGGTTGCTGGGGTAGGGGAGTCATGTTCCTCTGTGGTGTAGTGGTACAGGTATGGGTATAGGTATAGGTAGAGGTATAGGTATGGCACAGTGGTATAGGTATTAGCATATTGCCCTGGCTCAAGTAAGTAAGCTCCTACCATGCTATGCAGGCAATACTTGAAAAAAAAAAAAAAAGAAGGCAGGAATGCAGGAGGGGGAGACAAGGAGACTTGGGAAGGAGGAGGAGCAGGAAGAAGAAGAAGGAACTTGGAGGGATACAGAATGGGATAAAAGAAAATAACAAGGGGATTTGATCAAACAATATTACATCTATGTATGAAGCTATGAAAGTGAACTATTTAAAAGAATGGCTAGATTGAAACAAAAGAAATGGTTTGCTCACTAAAGAGATTTTCAAAGCAGAAAAGACTGAATTCCACCAAGACAGCTTGTTCTAGGTTAGAGTGAGACTGTCTCATATTTCACACCAAGGTCTAAAGATCTTGAAGGACAGGGCTTTCCAAAAAAGCTGGAAGGGAACTGTGGCAGGGAAGAGTAAATCAAGAGGCAGTACCAATAGCGTATGCTAACATTCACTACACATGTCATATGGAGATACTAGGATTACATTAAGGCAGAGTGCATAGTATCTAATCTGTGCAAGGTCAGTATGATGATGTCCATTCTGTATGGAGCAGTGGAGGATTAGTAATGGTAAGGCATGTACTCAAGGTCATACAGCTAGGAATGGAGGAGTTTGGATTTGAACTCTCTGGTAAAAAACAAAACAAAACACCAGTGTTTATTTCAGCATTTTATGACTTCCCAGGGGACAATAAGAGACTGTTAGGTCATCAGGCCAGTCATATAAGACTCAGTTAAAACACATTAAATGTGATGGTATGGGCTAGAGAGATGGCTTAGCTTTTAAGAACACTGCCTGCTCTTGCAGGACCCGGGTTCATTTCCCAGCACCCAACATGTCGGGTAACAACCATCTGTAACTCCAGTTCCAGGGAATACACTGCCCTCTTCTGGGTTCCACAGGCATTGCATGCACACAGTACACTTACATACACATAAAATAACAATAAATAAATGAGTAATTTTTAAAAATGTGATGGAGTGGAAAATGTGCTGCTTTGGAAAAAGGTCATGTAGTTCTTTACAAAACTAAGAACAGTATACTTACCTGCTATCTGAGCAATTCCTCTCCCAGGCACTACAGATAATTATCCAGTCAACCCTCTGATTTTAAAGATAAGAGATAAAACAACCTGCCAAAGTTAAATTCCTAGAGAGTGGCAGAGCGGAAGAGCACAATTACTTGATGTTGAAAAAGGGAAAGTGCCCTAAAAAGCAAATATTAGAAATAAAAATATAAAATTTAAATTTGGGGGTCAGCAATCCACAGAAGCATTTTTATTTTGCAAGCACCTTGTTGGAAACTTGGAAGCTATTGTTGAAGTTAAAAACACATGGGACAATACACACACACACACACACACGCGCACACACACACACACACACACACACACACACACACGCACAAATTTCTTTCGTGAGCTTCTAAAGGTCAGTAAGGAAAAGGGTAAAAAGCTTAATGAAGTCTTTGTTTCAGAGTCTACCAAATAAGAAAGTAAGTCACCACTTTGAAAATGGTTTTAAAAGGAACAGAGTGGAGATGATAGACCACAAGGTACCAAGAATATTTTGTTTTGTATTAACAACTTAAAAAGAGAAGAGAGTCTAGCAACAGAACACAAGAATAAATGGAAAGTGGCTGACTGATTAAAAAACAACAAAAACCTAGTGCTGGATCACAAGTGCATTGTTAGTAATAATACCAGGTCCTCTGATTCAAACTGTTCAATTCCCAACAATCCTGGACAAAACAAAAGATTTAAATCTAGACAAACTAGATTTAGCTTAATTTTTTAAAGACTTAAGGGCAAATGGAAAAATTATGGTTCACGGTAGCAATGGCTCTCAAATGAAGGGAAACTCATGTCAGTCCATTATCAGAG